ATAAAATCTTAAAAAAAAAAAAAAATAAATAAATAAATAAATAAATATATATCTACAAAGCATCTAAGAATATGTTAATAGTTATTCAAATATGAGAACATAATTGAACCAAAAGTTTGGTTCATAATTCTTAATCAGTGAGTTATTACTCGAAGACATAGATGATGTTTTCCTGACTTTCTGAAGAAAGCTCCAGAAGTTGGTTGTCAGAATGCCTACATTTCTTAATCTGCCTATTTTGTCATTTGGAGTTATACAGTATAATGACACACCAAAATGTACAGAATTATAGTTAATTTTTAAGTTGGCTTCCAAACTGAAAAAAGAAAAAATTCTGGAATACTCTAAAGGAACATAAAATAGAGTTCATATATTAATTTCTAGGAAATGTATAAAGATACTGTGGTCTATTTCAGTCTAGTCTTTATTTTTACTATGTACTATGATTTGCAAGTTTGTTATTCAACTGGATAATAAATTAACACAAAATTCGTGTTCTCAGCAAGCATTTATTTTTTGTCAAACATATGTTAAAACTGATTTAAATATATGTTAGCAATTTTTGTAGTTTAAGAAATCTATAACATCAATTCTTAAAAAGCCTATGAATATGAGATATAAGGGAAGCCAGATCTGGAAACTAGAGTAACTACTTTTCAGAATTCTGGATAAAGTCTCAACTCATGTTCCTCATCTGGAAAATGAGCTAAATCTACTTCCCTGGGTTATTGGAGGAATTCTGTTATGAGAGGACTTTGTAAAAGAAACTTATTATCATATGTAAAGAATCTTTAGTGTAATCACTCTCCTAATCAGAGACCCCCATAGCTTCTGGATGATTTTATCTTCCTCCAGAGGGAATTCATGTTTGCTTCTAGCAGGTAGTATATAATGGCATGGGAAGATCTCCTTAGTCCAATCAGGGATTAAGCCAATTTGAGCTGAGCTTCAGTCTTTGTGAGGGCTGGTCTGTTTCCAGGTCACCTCTACTTTTAGGGTGCAGCCCTTTGGGGATCCTAAAGGAAAGCTATGGGTGTGGACGAGGGCTTCTCCATGGGGACCCTGGGCTCCGACATTTGTCCCCTCCTTCACTCTCATCCCCCTGCCCCCATAAAATTGCTAAAAGTAATTCAATTTCTCAGCTTCTCAGTTGCAGCTTTCAGCCCAGTTTCTTAGTCTCCAAGTCACTGCTTGCTAATTAGCAAGTGCTTCAAGCAGAAGAGTAATGCCAAATATAATTGCTCAGCCTCCAGATCTTGGCCCTTCAAGTTCTGGCTGCTTTGATAGCCCTCCAGTGACTTGAAACAGATTTTAAAAATGTTTCCCCAATTTTGCTAGTTGTTTTGGTGAGAGAATTAGTCTGCAGCTAGCTAATCTGCCTTTATCCAAAGCAGAAATCTGACCTTAGGGTAAATCATTTAACTTCTTTGAGCCTCAGTTTTCTCATCTATGAAATAATGGTCCTAACAATACTTATCATACCAGTAATAGTGAGACGATCAAATAAGATAAACTAATGGGAAAAAATTTCCTAACCTGTATGGTACAGAGATCTAGTCTGTATGGTCCCAAATACTTTACATTTTCTTCTTATGGGGAGACAAGGCATCTGAAAGTGACACCACCAAAGAGTTTAAATCTAGCCATTCAAGAACTGTAGCTCAGGGGCCGGTCCCGTGGCTTAGTGGTTAAGTGTGTGCTCTTCGCTACTGGCAGCCTGGGTTCAGATCCTGGGCGCACACCGAGGCACTGCTTCTCCGGCCATGCTGAGGCCGCGTCCCACATACAGCAACTAGGAGGATGTGCAGCTATGACATACAACTATCTACTGGGGCTTTGGGGGAAAAAAAAAAAGGAGGAGGATTGGCAATAGATGTTAGCTCAGAGCCGGTCTTCCTCAGCAAAAAGAGGAGGATTAGCACGGATGTTAGCTCAGGGCTGATCTTCCTCACAAAAAAAAAAAAAAAAAAAAGAACTGTAGCTCAAGGAAGAGCTAGTCAGTGGCGTCTACATAGTTGAAGTAGTTGAAACATCTCAACACTTCCAAGAAATTGTATTAAGGATATAACTGTAAGTTAGCTGAAGTATTGATGCATGTACATTCAAGGCGTGAAATCAGGAAACAACTGTATTCTCCCAGACCCTCTCTCTGTTAAAACTGACTCTGGGTACTTCCTCCTTGCCCCTTTCGTTGAAATCTCAGGTCCCTGCTGTTAAGTTTCTGCTCACTCTCAGTCTTTAGCTTCTAATCTCTCTCTCTCTCTCTCTTTCTCACACAAACACACACACACAGACACACACAGACACACACACTCTCATTTGAGTATTTTACAAGTCCAGTCTTGTGTAAAAGTTCAAAACATCAAACTTTATGAAAGGTTAAAGTTTTTCTTCTCTGGAATTGAGAAAGGAAGGTGTGTGCTTAGTTTCTTATTTTCTTGCTCCTGCTTCTTCACTCTCTAGGATGCCTCTGGCTCCTCCAGGGTTTGGGAATGGTGATGGGGAGGACAGGTAAGGAGTAGAAAGTTCTTTTTGGTCTGATACTGTTGTGAGTTGGCATATGTGCTTTCTGTACTTGGTAAGTATTTAAAGCTGACTCTCATTCTCTGTGGCTGTTTTGGGAGACCTTCCCACTTCTTATTTCTCGGGATCTCTTGATGTGGGTAAATGTATCTCTTTGACTGGGCTGTTGAATTCATCTCACTCAGCCTCTAGGAATCTAGTGGTCAACTCTCTTGTGGGTGTCACTTCACCCCTCCAGAAATTCCCTTGGACAGGGTCTGAGACCACCCCTTGGCCAATTTGCTCATGCATGGGAAACACTCACATGGGAGATACTCAGACATTCTTTGTCTTGAGAAACTCTGAGCATGAAAGATCTCTCCAAAGTGTCAATCTCTCTTTGCTCAATTATCAAAGCAGTTATCTGGCCACAAGCCATTGGACTTCTCAGCACCAACTGGACAGCAGCCTGCCCAGGCCCCAATCTGGAGGGACATATCACAGTCTCTTAGTGGCCCTCTGAAGCATGCCTTTCCTTAGACATGAGGAGAGCAGGACTCACAGCACATTGACATCCATTGCCACATATCCACTCAGAATTCTCTCTCAGCCTCTCCAACATCTTTCATAGACTGGAAGTCATACACTGGTTTTTAGATACCTCCTCCATAAGTCCTGCTTTGGTGGTCTTGTATCTCACTTAAGAATGTGGGAGTAATTGGCACTTACTGCCTTGGAGTCT